TTTGCTAGAGTTCTTTGAGGATATAACAGTGCTTATAAAGGCAAACTGGTATACATCGTGTATTTGAACTTCCAGAAGGCATTTGATGAGGTTATTGAATGAGATCGGAGTTCTCAGTATTGTGGGTAATTATTAGTGTAGGTTTAGGATTGGTTAATATACAGAAGACAGAGTCAGGATTATTGGGTCATTTACAGCTTGGAAAGATGTAAGTGGAGTGCTGCAAAGATCAGTTCTAGAGCCTCAATTATATAATACTTATATTAATGACTTGAAGAGGAATAGGGCATAATATATCCAGATTTGCTGATGATAAAAAAAAGGCAGTGTGTGTTGCGCTGAGGACTGAAGGAATTTGCAGAAGCATGTAGATAGGTTATGTGGGCAAAAGCTTGGCAGATGGAGTTTAATATGGGAAAGTGTGAGGTCATGAACTTCGGTAAGAAGAATCAAAATGTAAATGAAGAGACTCCAAAAACAACAGTATGTGGCGGAGGCGAAGGAATTGGGAATAGGGGATGGCATTTTTGCAGGATGCAGGATTCTAGAATACACCTCCTCCCACCCACCTTCCTGCAAAAATGCCATCCCCTATTCCCAATTCCTCCGCCTCCACTGCATCTGCTCCCAGGATGAGGCATTCCACTCCCGTACATCTCAGTTGTCCTCGTTTTTCAAGGACCGCAACTTACCCCCCTCAGTGGTCGAGAACGCCCTCAACCGTGTCTCCCACATCTCCCGCAACTCATCCCTCACACCCCGTCCCCGCAATAAGAACCAAAAAAGAACCCCCTCGTCCTCACGTACCACCCCACCAACCTTCGGATCCAACGCATCATCCTCCGACACTTCCGCCATCTGCAATCCGACCCCACCACCAAAGACATCTTTCCCTCCCCACCCTTATCTGCTTTCCAGAGGGACCACTCTCTCCGTGACTCCCTTGTCCGCGCCACACTCCCCTCCAGCCCCACCACACCCGGCACTTTTCCCTGCAACCGCAGGAAGTGCTACACCTGCCCCCATACCTCCTCCCTCACCCCCATCCCAGGCCCCAAGAAGACATTCCACATCAAGCAGGTGTTCACCTGCACATCTGCCAATGTGGTATGCTGCATCCGCTGTACCCGTTGTGGCCTCCTCTACATCGGGGAAACCAAGCGGAGGCTCGGGGACCGCTTTGCAGAACACCTACGCTCGGTTCGCAATAAACAACTGCACCTCCCAGTCGCGAACCATTTCAACTCCCCCTCCCAC